AGTTTAAGTTCATTACTGCTCATAAAGACAGGATTAAGTGTCAAAGGGATCACATAAATAAGACCAAGTGTCTACTAATAATAATAGAATTAAAAAGGAGAGAACGATCCAACACAGAAAGCAGGCCACACAGCAGACTCAAAGAATGACAAAAGCCCTAAACAGCACTCTGGCCTCAGAATCAGCCCTTAAGGCATTCAGATCTGGCTAAAAAGCCCATGAGAGCATTTCAGGCATGGAAAGCAAAGACACTGTGGCAAAAAATGACCTACATGAAAGATCTCTGTGAGTGAGATCCCAGTGGAGAGAAAGGGCCATCAAAGGAGGTACCTTTCTCTGAAGGGAGGAAAAAACTTCCACTTTGATTATGGCCCTGTCCAAATAATGTCGAAGTTTGTGGACCTAAGAGGCTTCCATAGCCTTGGCAGCTCATGACAAGAGCTTTGGGTGATCACTGATGTCATAAATAAGAGTGTCAATTGTTAAATCAACAACAGGAGTCACTGTGCACTTACTACCCATGTAGGACCTCTGTCCTTAATGTGGTATATTATGAGAATTAATGGTAAAACTAGTCTTCAAACAGTACTTATACTTTGTGTGTTTGTGTGGGTACAAACTGTTGAAACTTTTACTAAGTATAGAGTTGATCTTTTGTATATAAAGATAATTAAAAATGAATCTTCATGAAGAATGGGATGGGAGAGGGAGTAGGAGGTGGGATGCTTTAGGGGTGGGAGGGCGGGTATGGGAGGAAGAACTGCTACAATCCAAAAGTTGTACTTATGAAATTTAATTTATTAAATACAATCTTTCTATAAAAAATACGAGTGAAATGAATGAAGCAGCATATAAAAAAGATACCATCATAATCAAACGGATTTTATTCTGGGAATCCAAGACTATTTCAACATTTAACAATGTAATTTACAACATCAACAGACTAAGCCAAACTAGATGATGATATCAAAAGACTTAGCAAAAAGGAAAAAAAATCAATAACCATTCAAGATTAACAACTCTCAGTACCTGAGAAATAACCATTTCCTCCACCTGATAAAGGACATCTATGGAAAACCTACAACCAATATCATACTTGATGGTTAAAGAGTGAAGGCTTTACCTCTAAAATCAGGAACAGGGCAAGGATGTCCCATATCACCATTCCTATTCAACATGTTGGAGGTCCTAACCAGAGCAATAAGGCAAGAAAAATATAGAAAAGTAAGAAACAGACTGCATCTATTTGTTGAAACATGATTATCTATATAGAAAATACCAAAGAATCTACAAAAAATTCATCAAATTAATAAGTAAATTTATCAAAGACAAAAAGATATAAGTTAAACATACAAAAGAATTGTATTTCTACATTATAGTAATAAACAATTACAAAGTAAACACTTTTTAGTATCATTTGTAATAGAATATACATACACACACACCTACACACACTTGGGAATTTTATCTAATGAAGTACATGCAAAGTACACCAAGGTCTACAAAACACTAAAGAACAGAAAACACTTAAGTGGAGATGTATATCATGTTCTTAATTGGAGGATTCAATACTGTTATGATGTTAATTACCTCTGAACTAATCTATGATTCAATTAAATTCCAATAAAAATTCAGAGAGTTTGTATGGACATCAATAGGCTATTCTTATAACATATAACTAAAACAACCAAAACAAATTTTAGAAACAAGAAAAGAGCTGGTGGACACTACTACCTGCTTCTAAGACTGTAGTTGTAAATTTACGCTAGAGGCAAAGGGATAAATACAAGGTTCAGATGACTAGAATACAGGATCCAAAAAGAGATCTATATACATAGAGGTAGTTGATTTCTAACAAAGGTTGAAAAAGCTCAATGGAGGATAGACTTTTTAAAAAATGGTCACTGGAATCACTGGACACCAATGTCTATACTTATTTACATCATGTACAAACAAGGAAATAATCCTCAAAATTGATTAGATATCTGAATTGGGTAAAAATTAAAAAAACATAAAACTTCTAAGAGAAAACTCAGAAGAGACTCGTGTGACTCTGGGGTAGGTTTGATTTCTTTGACAAACATCAAAAGTATGACACATAAAAGAAAAAAATATGAAAACTGTACTTCATTAAACATAAGAATTTCTGCTCTTCAAAAGATATTCTTAAAAACATAAGCCTCATACTGAGATACGTGAAAAATTCCATATGTAATAAAGGACTTGTTTCTAGAATAAAGAGCTCTCAAATCTCAATAAGGGCCAGCGCCGCGGCTCACTAGGCTAATCCTCCACCTAGCGGCGCCGGCACACCGGGTTCTAGTCCCGGTCGGGGCGCCGGATTCTGTCCTGGTTGCCCCTCTTCCAGGCCAGCTCTCTGCTGTGGCCCGGGAGGGCAGTGGAGGATGGCCCAAGTGCTTGGGCCCTGCACCCCATGGGAGACCAGGAGAAGCACCTGGCTCCTGCCTTTAGATCAGCGCGGTGTGCCGGCCGCAGTGCGCCAGCTGTGGTGGCCATTGGAGGGTGAACCAATGGCAAAAGGAAGACCTTTCTCTCTGTCTCTCTCTCTCAATGACCACTCTGCCTGTCAAAAAAAAAAAAACTCAATAAGAAAACAAACAATTCAATAAAAGGAATGAAGAAATGTCAAAAGATTTGGACAGACATTTCACCAAATATAAACTGATGAAAAATAAACACATAAAAATACGTTCAACATCTTTAATCACTTTGAGGTATTCCTATTAAAACTGTACAATTTTTAAAAAGCACCCAATACCAAGTGTTAGATGAGAATGTAGAGAAACCGGAACCCTCATATATTGCTGGCTGTTATGTAAAATGGCACAGCCACTCTAGAAGAGTCAGTTTCTTATAAACATACGGTTAACTGTGTGATCCAGCAATGCCACACGGAAGCATTTACCAAAGTGAAATGAAAATTTCTTTTCACATGAAAACCTGCAAGCAAATATTATAGCAGCTTTTTTCACAACTACTCCAAACCAGAAGCAATCCATGTCTTTGAACAAATGGAATACTAGTTAGCAATAAAATGAAATAAAAACAACACACAAAAAGCATGAATGAATCTCAAATGCACCATCCTTTATAATGCATAAAAAGCCAGAATCAAAAGGCCACATTCTATTTGATTTCACTTATAGGACATTCTTGATAAGGCAAAGCTATAGGGATAAGAAACAGAAAACAGGTTGCCAAAAGCTTGGGCTGGGGTTGACTACAAAGAGGCATGGAAGAATTGTGCAGGAGTGCTTCTGTAACCTGATTAAGCAGTTTTTACATGACTGTATGCACCTGTCAAAATATCCAAAACTACACATGCAAAATGTATGAAATTTACTAAAAGTATATTATATTTTAAAAATATGACCCCCTGAAAATACAGGCTAAAATAGACAAAAAGGTTTGCATGAAACTAAGAAGTTTCTGCACAGCAAAGAAAGCAATCAACAGAGGAAAGAGAACCTACAGAATGGAAAAAATATTTGCAAATTATAATTTAATAAGTTAGTATATAAGCAACTCAATTCAATAGCAAATATATGTATCATCTAATGAAAACATAGGCAAAGGATTTGAATAGAGAGGTCTCAAACACAAAAATGGCCAACAGGTATGTGGAAAGTTGCATCTTTATGGAGACTCCTAAAGAAATTAAGAATAGAACTACCACACATGATCCAACAATCCCTCTTCTGGGCATACACCCAAAGGAAATGAAATCACTACCTTGTAAAGATATCTGCATCACTATGTTCATTGCTGCATTGCTCACAATAGCCCTGGTGCATCTGTCAACTAATGAATGAAGAAACTGTGAGATACACAGAAACATACACATAGCCCTAAAAAAAAGGAGACCTGTATTTGCTACAACATGGATGAACCCCCACGACATGCTAACTGAAATAAAGTCAGATACAGAAAGAAACATGCTGTATGATCTCACATATATGAAATTTTTAGAATGAGCCAAATATAGAGAAATAAAACAGAAACTAAAAGTGACATATCAATGTATTTGAGTGTCTGGACCTCGTATGTATCCTGATTTTAAAAAACTGAAGACCAAAAGTGATGAATAGGGAGCATGAATACTAACTACATATCTATTAAAAGGTTACAGATATTTTTAGCTGTGATCATGGTGTGTGTTATTTATGAGGTAAAAGAAGTGGACCTTATCTTTTTAGAGACACATGCAGAAATATTTAGGGATGAAAAATATGAATGATATGACTTGGAGTTTGCTTCAAATAATTAACAGGGAAGTGTAGGGAGTGACTAGAATCCAGATGAAGCAAAAGTGGGTATGAAATGATTAAGGGTTAAAGGCAGGTAATGGTTTTATGGGAGTTTCATTACACTATTCTCTTCTTGTATATGTTTGACTTTTTCTTATTAATGCTTCCAAAAACTGTAACAAAACAGTTACCTTTGCCTGAAAGTGTCAAAATGAATTTATGAATTTCCCAAATGTATTCACATTTTCACATGGATCTAAGGCCTTAAAACAAAATTATGACTCTAGTAGAATAATGATCAGTAAGTCAGTGAAAATTGTTAAGAAGAGAAATATTTCCAGCAATCTTAAAACTACATCAGATACATAAAGAACCAACCAATTCTGCTTATTTCTAAATAAGCATCTGGTTTTGAGCAGGAGATGTCCTAACAGATAACTTCTAGTTCCCCTTTTTGATTATCTGCCTATTCAGGCAAAGTAAGAATAAGCTGTGATTCAAACTGTGTGTGTTTACTATAATGTTATCTCACCAAATTTACAATCTGTATTTTCAACTTTCTAAAACTTTTTGAGGTACAATGGACAAATAAAAGTTGAGTTTTAAAATTCTAGTACTCTACCAAATATCTAATGTTTTTCTGCAAATAAAGAAAAAAGGAGCAATCTTTTAAAACAATTTAGAACTGCTGTATACTGGTCGAGACACTTACACAAAAGCTTATTTACCTACCTTGCCTGGACTCTGAAGGTGCTACAGGAACTTCTTGATTTGACTCAAAAGGAAGTTCAGGTGTTAGGTTTTCAAACTGCTCTTTACTAATGAGATTTAGCTTCTGAAAGTTCTCAACTTCTTGCTGAAGTAGAATGGAGGAATCTAATTACTAAACTGTCTAATAGAGCAACCAACAGACAATAATCGATACCAACTTCAAAAAATGAGCTTTTAAAAAAATAAGGATTAATCACAATGGAGTAAAAAGATGTTCTAATAAAGAGTCTAGAATTACATTTAATAACATTTAATATTAGAGTCAAAAAGAGGCATATAGAATCTAAAATACAAATACTTTATGATTAGAGAACATTATAAAAGCAAACATACTAATTAGTTATTTTTTGAACATTTATACACAAGATCTTCAGAGTATTTAAAGTTACAAAGTAATCTAATGCATGTTCCCTATCCTTTGGCAATTTGTAAGTTAGAAACCTACAAATAAAAACTAATAATATTATCTGAAATTAATATGAAAGGTGATATTTGGTGTAAGAATTGATATCATCAGGGAAGGCTCACAGAAGGAATGGACAGAAGTAGCTCTCGAAGGATGAGAGTTTAGACAAAGGGAAAAAGCATGCTATGTGAGCAAGGCTAAGAAACTTGGAAAACACAATGCTTGTTAGAAAGAAACTAAGTGAACAAGAAAATCTGTGTAGGACCAGTGGTCAAAGGTCTGACAAGGAAGTTGGAGAGAGCTGCTAGAACATTAATACCAGGTCACAATTTTCAAGTAATTTTTTAGTGCTGAGGTACTAACGGCCAAAGATAAATCTGGATGGTACTGGAAGCTCATTTCCAAACCTCTTTCAGTATCTTAGCAGCAAAGAGGCTCAGCAGGTTTGAGTTGTTAGCTCAAAGGAAGAATGGGTTCACCCCAGCCTCCGGGGCTCCAAAGGCTCCTTTCTAACGTTACACAGTCACTTAGACATTGTTTGTTTTACAAATATATGGAGTGGCTGCTCTCTAGTGCACAGAGAGGCAGCCTGTCTGGTTTCCCCCACCTGACAACGAACCTTTGGTGTGTTTTGTGGTGGCCTTTCCTTTCACTAGTGCCAAAACCTGGACCAGGCTCTCCCATTGACCTTGCTCTCCCCTAGGGGGTGTGAGCTGCTTCAGGATCCTGGACTTCTACCAACCACAAAAATCACCCCCAGACCTCCTTCATTGCCACCAACCACTCTGCAATCTGCATCCATACACTGGCCCTCCAAAATTCCTGAGGTAAGATGGGGTGGGCGTAGGATCCTCTCATTGTGACTCTCTATGGGTTGTGGTTCCATGCAACTTGGCCCTGAAGTCCTGGTACCAGGACCACAGGGTGTGTTCAGGCAACAGTAGGTATGGGTGACAACTCAACCCCCATTTCCCTTATACAGGCTGTTAGGAAAATGATGCAGGTTTTTTTTTTTTGGACAGGCAGAGTGGACAGTGAGAGAGAGAGACAGAGAGAAAGGTCTTCCTTTGCCCTTGGTTCACCCTCCAATGGCCGCCGCGGCCAGCACGCTGCGGCTGGCGCACGCGCTGATCCGATGCAGGAGCCAGGAGCCAGGTGCTTTTCCTGGTCTCCCATGGGGTGCAGGGCCCAAGCACTTGGGCCATCCTCCACTGCACTCCCTGGCCACAGCAGAGAGCTGGACTGGAAGAGGGGCAACCGGGACAGAATCCGGCGCCCCGACCGAGACTAGAACTCGGTGTGCCGGCGCCGCTAGGCGGAGGATTAGCCTAGTGAGCCGCGGCGCCGGCATGGCACAGTTTTATGGTGAAATCTATACCCTGACACCATCCTAAGCTCTAGCCCCCGCCGCCATTGCTGGAAGCCAAGTGGCCACATGGCCCAACCACCATCCTAATGGGATTTGCTGCTCCTACTTCCCTGCTCACCCTCTGGCAAAGTTTTAAAAGGACCTGTTCCTGAACACGTGGCGCTCTCGCGCTCTCTCTCTCCCTCCCTCTACCTCCTTCTCTCTCTCTGTCTCTCTGCTCTCCCTTGGCTTCTCTCTCGCTCCTCTCTCTTTTCCTTGCTCTCTCCCTCTCTCACCTGCTCTCCCTTCACTCTCTTGTCTTGCTCCTCCTCTCTCTTCTCTCCTGGCTAGCTCCTCTTCTCTCTCTCTTACTCTCTTTTTCCTTTTTCGTCCCTTCCCTCCAGTCTGCTGGGTTTTCCCCAATAAACCCTTTCCCTTTGGTGTGTTTTGTGACGGCGTTACACAGGCTATGACCTGAGCTCCAGTGGGTGCATGGGTGATGTTCCCATATCCTCCCATCTGACTCTATGGGTCATCATGGGAGCTTCGTCCCACATTCCGTCGGATCCTCCTCTCAGCTGTCTCCTACCTCGACAACCCGTCCAAATGGCTGCTTAATGGCATGGTTAACATTAATAGGACCCCTACCACTTGTGTGAGCATGTCTAAGCCTTCTATCTCCACTCATGTTCTCTGGCTCAAACTCTCTTAACTTCCAAAGCTCTCACTGAAAAGCCAAAACTCCAGCTCTCACTATCTCGCTGTACCTCCCCCTCCCACCCAGGAATTCTAAGCTCCTGCTTGCCCTTATCTCAGAACCAGCCCTTGTCCATGTCTACTCTCTCTGCCTTCAAACACCCTCCTCCCAAAGAAGCAAAGGCAAGTTTGGGAATGGGCTGTCTCCATGCCATCACCCTCCTGCCCTGGTCCTCCAGCTGGTCTTCACACCCCACCTCCCATTCAATTTTACCATAAGAATAGAGAGGGAGTGGTGATTCCATCCTTTTGAACTCAAAGATTACTGTAAACAAGTCACCTATCCCACCCTTCTGATGGCTTTTTATTCTATAAGGAGCAAGCCAGACAGGATAAAGGATTGCAAATCAAGTCTGTTGATGGGTTTTGTCCCCACCTTGTAACTGAATGTCAAGCTGACTTCAGCAGGTCTCCTTAATACCTACAAACACAACTTCCTGGTCCCATTAGCAGGCATTTCCTAGATATTTGATTTGCTAGATCTGGGTTAAAGTCTAATTATCCCGTTTGCAGACAGGCAGTTTTTCGATCCAGACTCCCATTAGATACAGTCAACACGTGGCCTGAACTTGTGTAGACAAGTTTCAGCATGTCTTTGGTATCCCCTTTCTTCTTAAGTTCCCTCTTGGGTCACTTCTGTCTGGTCCTCCCTATGTAGTATATACCTCAGATGAGGTTTACTGGGGAGAAGTTTATTCCCCCACTATGCTTCTTCGTAACTTCACCTGCCTAGTCACCAATGTAGGTGGTAACCAGAGCTGGCACGCTCCAGCTTAAAAACACCTTTGCTAAGGCTCTCACCAGGAAGGCTTCTTGTCGAAATCAGGCCCATTAGAAAAGACTCAAGGTTAAGAGGCTTAGAACAACTATCTTTCTTCATGTAGGGGTTACAAACTGACAGTGTATATTTGACAAGGCAGAGGCCTAGTCAGTAAAGGGAACTGATCTCTCCCTGTGTGTCCTATTCTGACAAAGAGATACCCGAGGTTACAGGAGTGGAAGGCTGAGGCAAAGTGGGTAATACGTGCTAGTCCCACCCTCACCTTCCTTCCCTTCCCTGTGGGCTTCTGCATGTCTGGATGCCACAGGCAGTGAGAGAATTTTGAAAGACATCTTGACTCCTGACCTTAAAGAAAAATGCCTCATCTTTTTTTACACCACTATTTGGCCTGGTTGATATTTTGTTCATTAGCTCTGGGTTAAAAGCCAAAACTGCCTCTCTCTCTTCCCAAACCTTCCTCTTCCATTCTGCCACTCCCTCTCTTCTAACCTAGCCACTTTGGCATCTCTTCTACGCTGCACAATGGGGACCATCAAGCCCTGAGAGAAATTTCTGAAATTCTACTGAAGAGTTAAAATTGTATATGTGCGGGTGTAAAAAGTTAAGCTTAAGCTTACAGGTTTAAACCTTCCTGGTACAGCTGTAAAAATAAGACAGAGTGAAGTAGCACCTTGACAGTAGGGACTCCATTTTGGAGCACTTGAGACTGCATTCTGGGAAAGCAACCCCCCCGCCCACCGTGAAACTCTGGTCTGAAACTATGATCTCAAATAGTTGTACAATAACAGTGCACTACATCACCCTTGACAACACACAAAAACCCCCTAGCATGATTGCTCAAGCTTAAAAGTAGAAAGGTTGCACCTGGGTTACCTGGGCTAATAATAAAGATGTGATTTGTCTGTGTCTTACATTAATGTCAAGTCCTAATTGCTAATTGTAATATTGTAACTGGTATTGTCAAGATTATGATAAATATTAATTTCACTTAGGTTTTAGGTTATGTTGACCCCAGTAACCATATACTCTCTTTTGATTTTATGTACTCTCTTTTGATTTTAGCAACTGTGTATAGCAACCGTGCATAGCAACCATGTATTCCCCCCTTCCCGGTTTTGCGGTTTTTGCCTTTATAAACCCTAACCTTTGGTTATTCGGGGCTGCTCTGCTTTTGTATGATCAGGCAGCCCCAGCATGCTGTATAATCAATAAATCTTTAACCCTTTGCTGATTGCATGAGAGAAAAGTCTCTTGGAGTCGTTCCTAAGGCGGTGGGCTTTTTCAGACTCTAACACTACACCCATATATCTCTCTCAACCTATGTGAAATAATGATCAAGGCTACTGGCCCTTCAAACCAGCAGGCTCACCAGATTAATTACTATTTCCAGACATATCTCCTTTTCCATAATTGCTCCTTACTCTATCACCTATCCGATTCCCCTTAGGAATCTCCAGAGGGGCACCCATCTGCTCTAATGGATGCCCTCTCCCATTAAACCTAACATAATGGTAAACAATAACTTGCCAAACTTATTGTGCAATTTGGTTTCTGATGATATAGCAATGGGTAACAGTACTCATTATAGCCACTAAGGTGGATTTTGCAGTCTCCGGTTTAACGTCACTGATTTATAGTTTAAAGTTTTTCTTTTTTTTACAGGAATGGGCACTTTCATTTTATTCCATTCCAATCAGATATTCCATTCCAATCAGATATCAGATATACAGATTCCATCCTGTATGTTTCCAAAGACCTGTTAGACATTCCCACGTGCACCTACCATAGCTAATT